CTGTTGCATCTTGTTTGATAGTAGAACTGATAGTGAACTATTGACAGTTGTAGAACCATCAAGTAATTCTCTACTCCCAGCTTCAGAAATATTATCTTGTATCTTTTACGCTGAATATCTTGATTGCGCTTCAGGCCGTTGGTTTGTCAATAATTTTTTTTCTTAGTTCAAGTTTTCTTTGTATCTCTTGTTTATAATAAAGTTTATGCTTAAACTGTAAAATACTCTGCAAAAAAGCTGCAATTAAATGTTTTTGTCATGTGGATTACACATAAAATAGCTTTTTAGGAATCATTGCCAATTTTTTCAAATGTATAAACTGTCCAACATTTTTTTTTTGCAATATCTGCCTCCAAACATATGGGTTGGGCTCTACTTGACATCTTCCATATGAACATGGGTTTATAGCAAATCTCATTAGACCATTTCTCTTGTTGATGAGTGAGTGGAGTGACAACTACCACAGGCACAGTGACGTCACTTCTCTGATATGTCTGATGTGAACGATGCCTGAGCTGAGAGCTCCTGTGATTCCAACTCCTGTTGTTGCTGTTCTCCTCAGGTACCTCCAGGAGAACAGAGTGGCCTGTGAAATGGGTCTCTACTATGTGCTCCACATTGCCAAACTGAGGAACAAGAACGCCTTACAGAGGTTACTGCCTGCTCTAGGTCAGTGTCACTCTCCCTCTGATTTATTATTACGAGCCTGCCCGAGATACTCAATTTATTTTGTTGTGTGTTTTAAAAGATTTAGTGTAAAATCTTATTTCATTGACCAAACCTTTCTGATGTGGCAGTTTAAGTTATTTTTTTAATTGTCATGTTTAAAAAAAATTGGGAAGAAATGTTAACATTTAATCCACATCTGCAGCAAGTCATAATTTTAGATTACTTATCAAAGCTACCTTGTATAAACATCAGTGTGCTGACCTGCATGCAGCTGATTAAACCTATGAACATGAAATATTTTGGGTGGCAGAGGAAATTGTAAAGCTGCTCTAAGACATGCATGAACTCCGTGGAATCTCCGGACACTGTCTGGAGTGGCTGTATGTGAGAAGGCAAACGTCCGAATGAGAACCTCACTTTCTCTAGGATATCTCCAGCCAGGCCTCTGTAAAAACTCCAGAGAATGTCTGAATAAGCCGATGTGAGCACACAGCAGGAGATCCTCCACAGTATCACCTGGAGTGAGTTGACCTGTGAAGCAAATGTGACAAAAAACACAATGCAAACTTATGCCGTACATGCAAATATGTCAAGAGAGATTCTGGTGATGAGAGTCAACACCGGTGTCGTTACATCCTGCCTCCGCCTGCTGCGCCTCCTCTCACCTGAACGCTCTGGAGGTTTCTGTGTTGTTGTAACCGCTTCTCAGCGGAGAGTCTCTTGATGCGTTGTTCATGTGTGAAAGGCAAACTCTGGAGAAAGTCCAGACCCAATCGTGTGAAAATCCTCTGGATGTCATGTCTGAAACGGCTTGTAACTGATCAGAAGCTGCACGGGACAGTGTGTGATTCTGTCAGCCTGTGCAGGCCGAAGAATTTTAATCATGCATTAGTTCATTTGTTGATTTTATCTCCATCACATCATCATTTAGTTTTTATCCGCATATTTATTTTGATCAAGGGTTAAAGGTCTCTTTCTGCTGAGACCTCCTGTGCTAAAAGATCAAGTTCACTCACAAGTTCTCTCTGCTGTTAATCCACAGTTGAGACTTACAATGACATGGCCTTCGGTGACATCTTCCTGCACCTGCTGACCGGACACCTCACCCTGCTCTCCGATGAGTTTGGTACAGAAGAGTTTTGTTCAGTTGTGTTTGATGGCTTCCTCCTCACTTCTTTCTCCAGGTGAGTTGAGTCTTTATTGTGAGATGTAATTGCATGGACATTTGGTGGTTCTGAACTGGTATTAACATCATTTCAAAATGAACCTAAACTGTTTTCAGTGCAAAAACGCTGATTTGTTTGTGGCCACCGCCACAATATCAACACTAACCACCAATGATTGAATAATGACTGATACTTTTTTAAATTGGTAAAAATCTTTCTTCTAAGCATAACTGCAAGAGATTCATTAAGTCCCTGCTGACTCCTCCCTTCCTCAACTGTTCTCACTTGCACACACACACACACACATAGGGACATCAGACACATCTATTAACTCAGGGTAAAAAAACACAATTTGTCTTAATGAACACAAATAAATGACAGTTGTGATTATTTGCATATAAAGCAAGGAAGTGAGATCTGATCACAAGCAGTCACAGGACACACACGTACTAAACACTGTCCACTTGAGGTCTTATCTCTCAGGACAGATGTTTATGCAAGGTCTGAACAGGGCCATAGTCAGTGTAGTCCACTTTATGATGGTCAAACTGGAACTGAGTAGCCTCACCACTCCCAGGTACCCCTCATCACGACTCGTGTTTGTTTCTTTCCGAACATTTTTGCAGTAAAGAGAACGTCCACAGACACACCCTTCGAATGTTGCTGCACCTACAGCAGAAAGTGCTGCCGTCGTACATGGACACCTTGATGAAAACTCTTGAACCTCCGAAACAGGTGAGCTTTGTTTCTACATTCAGCTCGTGCTTTGAAAAGGACAGGAGCTGCAGTGATTAGTAGAATAAGGAAGAGTCTCCCTGTTTCGTACTTCAGTGGGGACTGTTTTGGAAGCTTACGACTTGTGTCCCGTCACATTAAAAACCCCTGATATGCTCCTTCACAGATTCACAATAGATGCTTATGGCATATTTAGTGGTTTATTACACAAAGTTTTCAGTTTTGCTGCTTAAATGAAATTATATTTGCAGCATAACTAACTCATCTAACTCATTTACCACACTATACCCAGCCTGACAGTTACTGTAGTTGCTGTAGCTGCACAAGTTAGCTATACTAGCTGGATAACTCGTACCTTGGTGTGTCAGTGGAAGAAACGTTGTGAACCATTAACAAACATGGTTTTGTGAATGTTGTGCCTAAGTGTGGTAATGGGGACTATATCCTCAATTTACATATCAGTATTGTTACAGCAGCTGCACCAGAGACGCATCTGATCTTCACAGACGATATTGTAGTGGTACTTTGTCTAACAAGTTTACTCAATCCAATTTTATTTGCATAGCCCATATTCACAAATCACAGTTTGTCTCATAGGGCTTTAACAAGCTGTGACATCCTCTGTTCTTAACCCTCAACAAGAGTAAGGAATAACTGCCCAAAAAAACTTAACAGGGGAAAAACACAGAATCCTCCTACATGTGAGGGATCCCTCTCCCAGGACGGACAGAAGTGCAATAGATGCCACGCTCAAAGCATCAAGAGTAACACTGGCCCTCATAGATAATGTCTGATCATATCAACACAGCTGAACTAAACTGGATTGTTAGACTATACCAGAAAGAACACCAGAAATAAGGATATGGAAATGACACTCCCCCTGGCTGCCTTGTTAATGATATATAATGGATCCTTATCAAACATCTTTATGCATATTATCTGTTATTATGAATAATGTTGAATATTCATTTGCATCAGTGTCACACTTCCTGTTTGATCAGGCTATGTATAATATTGTATACATAGCATCAGATAACAACATTCTCACAGGAAATGGTGCGCGAGAGTAAGTGACACGGACATCAGCAAAAGCTCAACTACTTTCAGTTACCACTTGCTCATGCTGAAACTCTGGGTAATCTCCTGCTGTGTTCTCACATGGGCTCATTCAGACATCATCCAAAGTTTTTACATGAGGACTGGCAGAAGAAACTGTAGAGAATGTCTGCAGCAACTGACTCAGACATTTGCGTTCTTACATACAGTCCGGATAATTTCAGGAAATAATTGGAGGAGTTCATTGCATGTCTGACAGCAGTTGTACTGACAGGCTCATTTTACTCCAGGCTGATTTCAGAGTTTCAACAGATCAGATGTTCACGCGACATGAAGCATTGCATATGTACTGATACCATGTGTTGCTGTGCCTGGTAACTACAGTGCAGCGAGCCAGTGAAGGAGCTGTACACCCAGCTGATGGAGAAGTTGGAGGCCCAGAAGAAGAGCCCTCCACCACCAGATGAAGCCCCATCCCTGGATCTAGGGCTGCACCCGGTGACTGTCCCCACCACCACCACCACCACCACCACCACACCAACCACGCCTCTCTGAGAGGCAGCAGAAATGGGAAGGAAAACAGAATAGTTAACCGGTGACTGACAGTCTCCTAAAAGACTGGGACATCTTACATTATTGTTCGCTGTACAACTTTTTTTTTTTCATGTAGGTTTAGTTTCTTTAGATGTTTGTCTCAGAGAGGGTCTTCCAGACAGTGTGGTCCTCTATTGTTCATCAGTGTTTTCATATGTAACTGTCTTATGAGTGTGTTACATTTGAATTACGTCAGTAGTGCAAGAATTGTGTAAATAAATGATTCCTAGTAACACACGGGTGTTATTGCGTTTCAGTCGAACTGACAAGATGCAGTGCCACATTTATGCAACACCTCTGCTCACATTCATTCTGTTGAAGAAAAACATGTGGATGAGAAAGTGTGTACAGACCTCAGCAGGAGACACCCCTGGCAGCCACAGTTACCATCAGATGCTGTGGGCTCAACACTGAGAACAGACTCATCTTCTTTAGGTTTTGGCATGTTTACCTTTAGTCAGAATGCTACTGTGCCTCTTGTAAATGGTTGTATTGTATTATATATCAAAGTGCTTTACACTACAGTTTTCCATTCACCCATTGACACACACATTCATACATAGAGTGCTTCTATAGCTAGCACTTTTTGTTGTTCTATTGGGCAGTTTGGGGTTCAGTATCTTGCCCAAGGACACTTTGGCATGCAGATGGGAAGACTGGGGATTGAACGTCCGACCTTCTGGTTGGAGGACGACCGCTCCACCCCCTCAGCCACCCTTTCCCACCTTGTAGGTTCCTTTTTTCAGATCCTATACAATATTAAGAAGAGGAAGGGAAAACATGATCACAATGTGTACAAGGGTGCTGTTTAAGCAACAGCCATGTAAACAACACAAAGTAAGGCTCAAATGGGTATTCACCCACTGTTCAATCCACCTCCTATGATTAATATCCAAAGTCCTGAATCATTCTACTCTGTTGTAGCATCATGGTAACCTGGCAGCACCAAACAGTCTGTCACACACCCTAGACACTGACGTGCCCCCATGTCCTGTTCTGAATGCACTTTGAGGAGAAGACTCCATAAAGAATCATAAGCTGATTCTTCTTCAGGTGTTTTCCTTTTTTCCAAAGTCAACACATATTGGAATATGAATACATCTTAGAAGTAGAATGGCACTCAGGAGAACACATACCTCCACCAAAGCCCAACAGTCCACTTGTGAATCCACATTGAAATTCACTACATCTGAATTGTGCTATGTGGAAAAATGGTGATAAACGCCCTATTTCAAAGTGTTAAACAAATTGCAACTAACGGCAACTTTCTGACTGTCTTTGTGATACTTCAAATAATAGTATTATATTTTAGTAGTATCTTCTCGCTCTTGCTGAATAGTTTAGTTCCTACACAAAACTTAGTGAAGGGGAATTCCCATCGATTTTACACACGTTTCATACAACTCTGAAACAGATAAACTTGTGTTGAGCTCAAGAGGATAAGTAGTCTACCCCAATTACCCTTTAATCAGATAGACCTCAGATACCAGCAACAAGATGGCAAATGCAAATATTCTTAATCGAAACTCTGTAACTGGTTAACAAACTCAAAAACCTCCGACTATCCACCACACTCTAGATTATGGGCGTCCTCATAAACAGACCGCAAACTGTCAGAATGGGCAACCACACATCCTCCACCATCATCCTGAACACAGGAGCACCGCAGGGCTGCATGCTCAGTCCTGCTCTCTTCACCCTGTTCACTCATGACTGTACATCCATCCACTCCTCTAACACCATAGGGAAGTTTGCTGATAACACCACTATAGTAGGACTGATCTCAGACAATGTCAATGCCACTTCAACAGTGAGGAAGTGGGTGTTGTAAATGACATCAAGTTCGTGAGAATCCATATCACAAAAGATCTGACGTGGGCCCTTGACACCTCCCACCTGGTGAAGAAAGCTCAACCGAGGCCCTTCTTTCTGAGGAAACTCAACTTCCCCCCCAAGCTCTTTGTTAACTTCTACAGGAGCACCATAGAGACAATTCTCTGCCAAAGCGTATTAACCAAGCTACCGACTCTGGACCCGGTATATGATAGCTGTCTACACAAGAAGGCTAGTAACATCAGCAAGGACCCAACCCACCCAGGCCACAGTCTGTTTGTCCCCTTGCCATCGGGGAGAAAGTACAGGACAATAAGATCCTGCACAAACAGACTGAGAAACAGCTTCTTTGATTCCACAAAAATATTGGAAACGTTTTTCTGCACACCACAGTTAAGAGGGACTATCTGAGTCACTGTAAACTTTCTGTCAGCTCCAACCAGTCTGACCTTAATCCTCTGACCTCGCTCATCGACACTGAACTGCTGCTGGATGTTTTTCTGTTATTGGTTCCATTTTGAGTAAAAAGTCTGAAGATGTCATGTTGTGTGTGCACAACTCAGCATGTCATTTTCAGAAGAACTGAAACAAACAATTGTTTCACAAAGTCACATGAGTTCACGTTTTCATCATTCTGATGTTGATTTCAACATTAACTGAAGTTCCTGTTCTGTATCTGCAGGATGTTATACACTACCACACTGATTTCTGATTGGGCAATTCCACCACTAGCAGCTCCACAAATAAGCAGAGTCAGAAGAGAAACAGTTAGTATGTTACTAGACTCAAAGCACTGAAGACAACTTCAACTCTGGTAAGATTGTTTTTAACTCCTTACTATCTGCTGACGGTATTTCAAAGTGATATTTCACCTAATGTGATAATTATAAGGTAAAAACAATTCATACAGTATTAACAAGTGAGACGCAAATTAAATTTAAACCTGAACCTGAACTATGGCGATGGAGGGGTGGGTGAAGTGTTTTAGTCGACAAAACACTTTTGGAGTCTCAGGGGTAAACCAGGGTTGCAGCCAAATCCAATACAATTGAAGTAAATGGTGACTCCTTCTTCAAATGTAATAAAACTAAAGTGTTCAGAGCTACATTTGATTTACGGAAGAGAATTTATTGTGTTGCCATACTACATTTCTTACCCAGGAGCAGGAGATATTTTTGTGGCATAAGAAAACTGACCACAGCCTTATCCACTCTATCTTGAAAAACCCCGACCAAACAGGAATCAAACCAGGGAGGTGAGGCCACCCCCAATATGTTCCAATCCAAACTATTTTTAAAAAGTCAACACAGATTTAAATCTTAAAAATAATTTGTATTTATTGTATGGGATTTCTATTGAATAGTGCCTATGTGATTCATTACATTCCACAAGTAGAACAAGTAACTGGAGGGGAATGCACAAACCTTTGCGAAGGCTAACACCCTGTCTTGCAATGTTAAAGAAAGAAAACAATTCCTGGATCCGCCCCACAATCAAATCTGCTCTTACATTCAGGTGTATATGATGTACATACTCAGAATTTTGTATTTAATATTTATTTTATTTTCTTATTCTATTGCCTTTTTATATTTCTTTATTCTCTTGTCTACAACAGAATTTCCCTGGTTTGTGGATCAGTAGAGTTTGATCTTATCTGAAAATAATGAATAGGTTAATTGGTTCTTCCTTGGCTCATACCCCATCCTTCCAGACATTTTTAACAGTTTTTGCATAATCCTGCTAATAGTGAGACAGGCAAACATATCAAAAACTGAAAGGTTATTATATTATTAAATCCTAACTTTGAAAAAAAGTCTCAGAGATTTGATAAAAGAGAAAACAACTTGTGGGGCTAAAGACCTAGTTTGTTCTGAGGGTGGCAATAGAGAAATCTCATGGGGTCATTAAAGGTGTACCTCCCTTAGAGTAAATAGTTTGTATTTATGTATCCATGTATCCATTCACACACACTGCATCTATTAGCAGCACTGTTTGTTCTATTTTTGGGCTTCAGCATCTTGCCCATGGACACTTCTGCATGCAGATCGGAAGCCTGGGGATTGTGCCCCCAGAGTACAGTGTGTGTTGTATTTGTACATGTAACTTGTATGTAAATCTGAAATTTGATTGTGGTACCTGGGGGTCGACCATCTGGACGTGCTGTGTTGCAATATTTCTCTGCTGATGTTTTCTATTGTCCAGAGACTGTGTCGAAAGATGGACAACATGACAGTTCCCTTAAAGTACTGTCAATGTGTCTCGATCGCGGCCTGGTGGTTGGCTGCAATATAGGTCATGCCTTTTGATTGCCCCTGATTTAAAACAAAATCCTAGATCCATTTATATACAGTCAATGGATCCACCAAATAGAACAGAATGGAAACATGAGATAAATCCATGAGGGTGAACAAAAGAGACAATGAGTGTTTAACTCATGTGTGACATATTAAAGTAGGAGCAGGAAAACTACACAAAGACTGAAGTGAGAGACACAAAAGTAATTAAAAAGAACACAAGGACAAATCCCAAAGTCCAAACACGATGAAATTCTGAGTCCGTAAATCAAAAGTCCAAAACCACAAAAAGTCCCTCAGAAGTTCAACATAGGACAGGATCATGACAGTATTATAAGTATTTGTGGTCCATCTCAAGCATATGTTGCATTGTTACTGTTTTTGATCTAGTAAGAAAAAAATAGCTTGTGAAATAAATAATTCTGAGGTGCAGTGTTCTGTTCTCCTCCCACAGAAACAGAAGAAGATGATGCCCACGACGGTTTCCTCACAGCCCGGAAACTGCAGCAATAACTCATCATGTATGGATGAGAAACAGCATATGTCCATCATCGTCCTCCTGTGCCTCATCTTCTTCCTTGGCTTCATCCTCAACACCTTTAGCCTCTGGGTCTTCTGCTGCCGGATACCCTGCTGGACCTCTGGAACCACACTGCAGTTCCACTTGGCTCTCAGCGATGCCATCGCGACCCCAGTCACTCCACTGATGGCGGTATACTTCGCCATGGGCAACAACTGGCCCTTTGGCCCGTTTCTGTGCAAGGTCAAGATCGCCCTGCTTAGTTCCCATTTCAATGGCAGCATCATATTCCTCACTCTCATCAGTATCCATCGGTACACAGCTGTGGTGCGCTTCAACAAAAGCTCCTGTATGAAACAGAAGCAGTTTGTCAAGAAGCTGTGTGCAGGAGTTTGGTTTCTGCTGCTGATCCAGGCTCTGGTCTATGCTTTCATGCTTCCTCCCAGCGAAGACGGCAAAAACAGGCACTGTCTCTCCATTCATCAGACGAACCTGACAGACTCCTACTTTGTCATTAACTTTGTCCTGCTCATCTTTGGGTTCTTACTCCCTTTCTCTATGTCTGCTGTTTGCTACGTCCGTCTGGCTGGCTCCTTAACTCGCCTCAACATCAGTACACCTAAAGGTCTGAAGGCCAAGGTGAAATCTCAGAGGATGGTAGGCATGTGTCTGGTGATATTCGGGCTGTGTTTCCTGCCTCTGAACGTGATAAGAACTGTGGCAGTGGTACTTAAGAAATACTACCCTGGAAAATGTTGCTTTCTGCTGCAGATTGAGAAGGCGTATTATGCATCCCTGATCTTAGCTGGAGTGAACAGCTGCCTGGATCCACTGCTGTACTGTTTTGGTTCACAAGCGTTTCGAGACACATTCCAGTCTCTCCGAATTAAGCTGAGAGATGCTCAAAACAAAAGTGATTCCGAAATCACTGCAAATCAGTAGCATGGAGTGAGGCATTATTGGAGGTGACCAATAGTAGTGGGCCAGGATGTAGTTTTGGTGGAAAGAGCAGGTCCAGTTCAAGCATGGGTGAAGAGTTTACTGTTTCCACAAATGTCTGTCTGTCTGTATGTGGACAACATATCTCATGACTCATTCATCCAATTGACTTCTCACTCGGCAAGTGTTTTGTTAATTACCAGAGAAACTGAAGTGCTGGTTTCGAAGGGATGCGTTGAATATTAATAACATTTCAGTAAATGGGTGACTAGCACTCAGTGGGGGGGATGTGGTAACCTACCATGACATCACCCACTGGTTTTTGAAACTGCCATTTTGAAATCTGATCAGTGCCATCTGTCCAGTTTGTACCTGGACCATATTTGGTTAAGAAGGGAAGCTGGAGATATGGCTCTGAACTCTGACCTCAGAATGTTTCAGTTGTCTGTTGTTCATAGTGACCCCCAGTGTCAGTATATCAAGGTTCAGACGATTTGACTGTAGAATTTTTCAGAAAATTAAATCAAAAGTTGGCTACTTTTCCATTGTAGCACTCATAGCTAGCTCATATTACTTATTGTTAAGTGGTACTATTCTGTCTGTTGTTTTTCAGTTTCACATAGCATGGGGTTGTAACTGCTAAGGTGAGCACTGTACTGGAATTAACTTTACATTTTTAACAATGAGTCCTTTTCCATTGCTTACAGTTATAGCACTATGCTACTTAAGTAAATGCACCAGTGTCCCCCCAGAAAATGTCTTTATCTAACTATGTTTATTCACTTTTTTACCAACTGCCATCATGATGAATTCCATAGACCAGACATGTCAGACTCAATGCCCACGAGGTAATTAGGACACACACTTTGTTTGTGAAAAAAAAAGCTCCATAGGCCGACTCGCGGTGCGCAACGCCCAGCTAAACGCACATGGAGCGAGCCCTTCCTCACCTGCTGAGTATTTGGTGTTAGTAAATCATTTTTCCAGTGTTCCAGTGTTCCACTGTGTTCCAGTGTTACATGCATTTAATAAGTTGTTCATTTAAATGATTTGTAAATGAACTTTACTTGTACATTTAATGGTTTTTTTTTCGAGCATGCAAATCACCAGAAAATGTACGGGTGTTGCAATTGATTCTTGTTCACTATGTTGTTATATTCTTATATGTATTGAAAACATGTTTAAAATTGAGTATTTTAGATGCATGGTTGCTATGCTAGCATGCATCTTGTATTAACACATTATTTGTTAACATTATCTTTTATTTTTATTTATTCATTTATTATTTAACATAATAATAATCAAATCCCAGACGGTTCATGTCACCGAAGACCAGGTCACTGTCTGTTCACCAGTTTGGAGGCGAAGTGGTTCCTATCAGTGACACTGACAACATTGATTAGAAAATACATCACATGACTGGAGAGGTGTATCAATGCTTCAAGTATTTATGGTAAAGAAATGCAATAACAACAGTAATCTTAATGGTGTTGTTAATAATGATCGTATATACAGTATGAGTAGGCATGTTGTATATCTAAGCAATATCTACTGGCAGAAATTTAATATAAAATAATCTTTGAGATGTTTTCACCAGTATGTTTCATTTAAATTGTACAAAGTGTTGTTTCCTTCACCCTAGAATGGACCCTTTACATTTAAATACGTTATATTGACATCGGGAGCAGATCTCAAAATCTGTATTTTGATCAAGTATTTTTGATTTGTATTTCAAATCTGTCTTTTCAAACCATTTTCTGTGGATATACAGCATCTCCTAGCTTACCTGTTTTCCATTTGCAGTCATCCTTCACCTGCACAGAAATAACTGGTATTTGTCACATGTTACCTTTCAATCAAGCAGATGGATATTTCCACTGGGTGGGTGCAGGTTGTATCCACAGATAGCATATGGCTTTGTTAGTCCCCCAGACAAAGAGAAAATAGCTTAAATCATTTTTCCTGAATTAAAAAATAAACATCACATTATCCTTTACAATAGACGTGTCTTTTCTTCACTGTACATTTCAATAAACTGTATACAAATTCCTCTTTGACAAAAAGAAAAAAATAAGTCCCCACACTGACCGTCACAAATGATTTACTCATCGTAATGATTCCCAGCAATACTTGGGCTTTGATAGAAACTCACTGCCTGTACCAAATATCATGAGCTTTGTGTCCATCCAGAGAAAAAGTACTGAATCTGGAGATTTGTTGATTTGCTTTTACATTCACCTCATAATGTCCAGTGCACACAGTTCATTTGTTCAATTTAGAGCTAACAACCAAACAATATGTGTATTGTTTTCAATGAATGTATATGTAGAACACAATCACACATTAGATCATCTAAAACACATCACAATACACTACCCCGGAATAACCTTATTTAATCTGTAAAATACTTTCTTTGAGGTTGCCATCATAATGGCATGAACTTTTTTCCAATAGATGATGTAGTGGGGAAGTTTCTCAACATCATCTTCAGACAATGTGTGTATGTATCTATTACTGCAGATATTTACAGCACGGTCATATATCTTCCAGGAGGGGGCACCATATATACATTTTATAACGTGTTCTCAATCAGCTCATTTCAGAGCCAGTAAACCCTGAGCTCACATTCTGTAGTATTTTCTCAGGAAACATTTGGTTTTGTTACTGAATCAAACTTTCAACCAAGAAATAAGTACTGGTGTTTAAGAATGTTTGGTCCTCTCCTGCACCAGCCTAGACTAAAGTGGTGAGTTTATAAGAAGGAAAACTGTCACAGTGAAAACAGCTGAGACAAAATCCTTTAAGTGTTTTGTAATGATGCAATATTTGCTTGTTATGTTGTGTTAGTATTGTTACAGCTGTGTGATAAACGAAGCAGCATTGTGTTCAGTTTGAAAAGCAGCCACAGAGCTCCAGACTCATTGTCACCTTCTCATGTTAGAGGACGAGAGACGAGCTGAGCTCACTCCAATGTCACTAAAAGTCACTTTCAGCAGCATCGACATCTTAATACTTTTTCTAAAGTTTGTATTTTATGTATATATATATTTTCATACTGCATTTCTGTTTTTTTACATGATGCCTGCAATTAGACAATCTAAGAGTGACACCATGGTTTTTCCCTTTGTTCTCAGTGTTTAATACTTTAATAGTAGGCCTGTTTTCTGATTGTACCTTTATGCTCAGTTTTACCTCAGTGTTGCTGAAGACTCTGCTTTATTTTGAAACTAAGTGACAAAATAATTTTGATTATAGGGGCCAGAGTAAGGTGTCTTTCCAGCAAAACTGCTTACCTTGAGGACATCAGTTGAGTAGGAGGTCATTCAATGTGTCCCAGGATGCATTTGCTTTCACACTAATAAAATAATATGTTGTCACATTCATCCCAGACCACCTCTGAATTAGCTAGTTGATCAAATCTTGGGTGCGATTGTAGAGTTGTCCCCATTAGATCAGATCACCCAAGACATATGTTCATACCATGTCTGAACAGGGCCTCAGTGTTCTGGGACCTACTAAAGCCAATATTGAGGATCACAGGGGGGTGGTTATAAGCAAACGGAGCTAAGAAGCTGGGTACATCCTGGAAAGACAGGTTGATGTCATTGTTTTGCAAATCACAACTTCACAAGTAAGTCAAGTCCTACATTTAGCATTTTGGAAACAAGCCATTCTTAACAAGGGTGTTGTGGCGAGGAGAACCGTAAAACACAGTTATTGTGGCCTTAAAATGAAGGAGTTTAAAACACATTTTCCAAAGGACAAGTTTTGGAAGAGGTAATGAATGTTATTCAGGGTTAACCAAAGTTTACGCCCTTCATGTCAACTGAGAGTTGCATGCTCGTTCAAATCAAACATACACGCCTACAGTTCAGTTCATATCGAAATGTAGGCCTGTGTCATTCTGACGATCCCATATTCCATTCCAGTAGGCGTATATATAGAACCAATATTGACATCGGCATAGACATCTGTTCCTACCCTAAAAAACCATGGATGGATGATGACATCTGTGTCTCGAGGACCATAGTGGACCCCAGCAGAGTGGTGGATGCAGAAAGTATAGCCCACTTAGACTATGTATGACCCGGGGCCCAGATTCTTGTGCTGTGCCCTTGCTCATTGAGGTGGATTGTGGATGTGATCATGGTGGCAGCCGATCATGTATTGTGATGGTGGATGGTGACTGTTATGGTGGATGGTGGATTGTGTGGCAGCTGATTGTGGATTATGATTACAGCTAGATTGCTTAGATATACAATATGCCTACTCATATTATACTATTATTAGAAATACCTCTACTGCTCCCTTCATCTCTGTTTGACTTTTTCATTTGTATGAATGCTTTAAACATACGTGATACACCTCTCCACTTATGTTGGCCACTGTCTGTTCTCATGTTCTTATCTTGATGATGTGCTCTGCTTCATGCGACATCTCTCACACTTCTCTTTGTGCGTGGGAGGGATCCCTCAACTGTGGCTCTATCTGAGGTTTCTACGTTTTGTCTTATTCAACTCTAGTTGATGGCTAAGTGCAGAGGATGTCCCACCTTGTTAAAGCCCTATGAGGCTAATTGTGATTTGTGAATGTGGGCTATACAAATCAAATTTGATTGCTTGACTGACTGATTGATAGATAGATGAACGTCAAAAAGACGAATATTTCTTAAATACCAGTAAATAATAAATTCAATAACTAAATGCGAGTAACCATTTCTGTCATATCTAAGTAAATGAATCCAAAGAAAACATTTTTCAGAGTGACGGGTACACCTGGGAATTTATTTCTCATCTTGTGAGAGGAGGTGACGTCCGACGAAGGGGGCGGGGACGCAGGGTGGAAAGTGTGCGTGTTTCGTGTTTGCGCCGCACAGGTGATCTTCAGTCCCGCTGCGGATCAGGGGAATCATGGGGAAGCTCCAGCAGTTCGAGATCAGCTTCGACCAAAACAAAGTGGTGTACAGTCCGGGGGAGTCCATCTCCGGGACCGTGAGCGTCAAACTGGGCCAGGCGCTGCTCTGCAAAGGTACGAGTCCGCTAATTCAGCCTTTTATTCCGCACAACCGCGCACCAGGTAACACAGCGTCGCCGTCGCCGAACAAGGAAGTGATGGATCGAGTGAGGAGTTTCGTGGGGAGCAGTTTAGATTCCACTGAAAAGAGCTGCCTGTGTTTGGATATCACGCTGAAGTTAGCTCGCGTGTCTGTGGTTGTCATGAGTCCAATAAACTTTTGATTTGTCCCAGCACTGTTTCATTGTGATGTCGCTATAACAGTCTTAACTCTGGCTCCAGTGAGGGGTTTTAATTCTACTGATGATAATAATAACTTTAATAAGAACTTAAAGAGTACTGTTCAACACTGTGTACAAAGTGCTCCACAAGAAAACAAGTGGAAACAAAACAGAAGGAAGAACATAAGTGATAATGGTAAAAATGATAATAAGGAAGTTCAAAGACTGATAATAGTCTGGCCCTCCAAGTACAATCAGGGATATGCCTTCCAAAAATACTTTATTTCCTCCGACTTCCTCAGAAGACAGCCTTATTTCCTCAGGCAATTCATTCCAGAGGCTTGGGGCCTTGATGGCAAACGCCCTGTCCCCCCCTTTACTTTTCAGCCTGAGGAAGTGACAGCATACTCAACAACATGACAAGCTGCGCAGGGGGAAAATGCAGGGATCGGTAATCTTTAAGGCCAGGTCATGAAGAGCCTATTGGTTCATTTCTTCTGTGGCCACAGTCCCTGAGTCAGGGACGTAACCAGGACTGTTGAAGGTCACGAGCCCAAGTCCCCCCTGGGCCCCAGAGATATTTTAACACTCACCCAAGAGGACTGAAAATTAAAATATAAATAAAATCTGTATTTTAAGCATTGTTCTTAAGCTACATGTTTTGTCAATTTAAACTTTGAACATGAAGGTCTGTACCTTAGGGGCCCTGCTCAGACCTGATATTAACATCTGTCCCGTGTGATCCAATCACAAGGGGGACAGCCCGAACTTAAACACATTGATAGTGGACACATCTGTACAGGCAGACTGGCTAATAACATCATTTGGTCAAACATCTCTTATTTGCGCGTAGAACAGGGAAGTGAGATCTGAGTGATCGGATCACCAGAGATATTGATGTGTTTAGACCATATCTGATTGTTTTCAGCTTTGCGACATCACACTCATGTTTATCAGATCCCAATAGTAAATGTAGTGTAGATGTCACCTTACCGTAGATATGAATATGCGTCACAGGTGTTATAGTGCGTCTGCTGGAGCCTCATTGGTATTAAAGACCTTTTTTTTTTTTGCCCCTGTTATGAAGTAACAACTTCTTGAGATTGATTTCTCTCTCTCTCTCTCTCTCTCTCTCTCTCTCTCTCTCTCTCTCTCTCTCTCTGTATGTGTGTGTGAGTTTCTGTTTGAATGCTTGTGGGGCCTCCAGTCTGTTTACATTCCTCTTCAGGTAAAGCTGGTCAGACTGTCAGCTCCACTGTGCACCTCCCAGGAAACAAACTCTCTCTGCACGCAACACTTTGAATCACTGATAGATTACGAAGTGGGTTCGGCCTCGAGATAACAGACGTATGGCTGGGCAAATATTAACATTGCATTAAAAATCAAATAGGTTTGAAGTCGCTGTGGTTGACTTAAGACACAAAGCATTTGCTGAGGTTACTTGTGTTGCAAAGTGGAACAGACTGTTCTGAGTAGTCTTTTGCTTCTATAGACTGAATATAATTCAGATGGAAAATATACTGTAAGGCTAATTATACTGTTATGTTGAGAATAATTCAACTACCGTTCACATCATTGTTTTGACGCTGTGCCGTGTAGGTATTATATGCTGCCATGCTTTTACTGAAGTTTTGTTGACCTCATTTACCTACTGCACCGAAGGTTGTGGTCATTCACATACAACAACAATGTGAACGGAAATATGATAAAAGAATAGCACTCACAGAGCACATAATAATAATAATAAAAATAATTATAATAAAATGAACTCGTCAAGCGCCTTTCAAGAGACCCAAGGGCTCTTTACATGAGTCAGGGGGGACAAAAGAGAACAGAAACAAAGTAAGGCCCAACAATTCCCCTGAAATTCAATCAAACTGCACCAAATTTATTTCATAAATATCAGTTCCCTAAATATGTCTGATTATTTTCATCAAGTCCCAGGAATTGTTCCAGAGAAATGAAAAAAGTTAAAGTATAAAGTTGCTGGATCTGCCCCCTGATCCAGATCCACAACAAAATTTAATGTGTTCTTCCCTGACCCAACCTTCCACCAAGTTTCCGCTAATCCGACCAGAAGTTTTTGCGCTATCCTGCTAACTAACAAGCAGAGAAAACATAGCTGTTCCAAATGAGTGAGGCAGCTGCAGCTAGCAGCCACTATCCCGTAAACACATGAAATGTCCCCTTCAGTCCTTGTGTTACTCAGGACACCTGTGGACGGACAGAAGAGACCAATCGAAAGGAAGAAAACCCAATAACACAGGTTCACTAATAGCTCCCATCTTCTACATTTGTTCTATTTTGTTTTTGTTGTTTTCGTGGATCTGCTCAGACCACAACATGAACATTAAGACTTTTACCAACTGTAAATAAGGTGAAAATCATCAAGTGTAAAAGCAAGTTTTACATATTCAATACACCTGCATAGTCTCAGACAGTTCCCAGATTTTCTGTCTTTTAACACTCAACAATAGTAGTTTATAGTTGATCAATCAATTAAATCAAATTTTATTTCTATAGCCCATATTCACAAATCACATTTGTCTCATAGGGCTTTAACAAAATGTGACATCCTCTGCCCTTAACCCTCAACAAGAGTAAGGAAAAACTACAAAATAAAAACCTTCTAACAGGGAAAAAGAACGTAGAAAGGACGGACAGAAGTGCAATAGATGCCGTTGTTGTTCATTTCATCAAAACTATTGAACCTGATTGAACATTATGTGAAATTCACTGCCCAAGAAATTAGGGGAAAGGGTGTTGATGTTAACAACTGGATCAAGATGAACAGATCACGCTCTCTAATCGTCTAACCTGTGTGGCAGAAAACGTATCAAGAGGTGAAGAAATTATGAAAGTACATCGTCACACTCCATTAAAAAAGCTGTTGAGTCATGATCACAGTGCAGTTTTGTTCATTCATCTGTCAGACCTGGTTTAGAAGAGCCTCATCAGTCGAAAGCTCAGTGATGATTGGAAGCTTCATACTTAAATCATTTCTTTGTAACATTTCTCTCCTTGTGTCACGTACACAGTCTTGTAATCTGACTTCTCATGTTGTGTTTGCACTGATGGTGATTCACCCTCAACATTTGGAAATATTCCAGCAGCTGGTCATCTGATATGCCCTGTCTGGAAATAAGTCATCGAGCTCTTAAGCACGAGTTCTTATATTCTTTTATTAACTATGGCTATAGTGTGGTATTGAATGGGCAATATGGATATTGAGGGTTTGTTGAAAGCTCACTTGGTTAACTAATGTTCCGTACTTTCTTCAGCATTCTTATAAGACTGTGAGGTTTCATATAGTCTTCTCAGCTTCTGTGGGCTTCAGTGTAACACACTTGTGCTTTTGTTACTTCCTCATAGAGCAGACATGTCATAATGCCTTTCTCATAACATCATGTGCTTATGAGGAAGATTTCATGCTGCAGCTACTGAGGAACATCTGTGGCTAAAAACTGCACTGCCTTTGTCTTCTTACCTGCAGCCATCAAAGTGAACTGCAATGGTTTCTGTGGCATCACTACCAAGGTGAACGACACGGCGTGGATGGCGGAGGAACAGTACTTCAACAGCACCGTCTCTGTCGCAGACAAAGGTGAGCGGCTGAGACTCTGAGCAGATTGCATCACACAGATGACTCCATCAGCCCAGTCTGGTCTCAGATTAGAGACCTTCACTGGCTATGAATACTTATGTGTGAGTCGGCCACAGGAAATACAGGAAACACAAGCCACACCCTCAAAAATGGAGACAGATTTTGCAACAAGGAAACGTTTTCTCATCTGTGCATCATGGGAAAATATAGTGTATTAAAGGAAATTGAAGGGTAAAAGAGTGTGGATAGGACATGCAGCCCTGAGGCATATCTGCTTGCTGAGTAACAGCAGAGCTATTGTTAGCGTTGACACTGATGAATGTTATCTGTGCTTTCTCTCCCCCATACAGGAACACTGAAACAGGGAGAACACACTTTTCCCTTCAAGTTTCTCATACCAGGTAGGATGTTGGAGAGGATGGGATGATGAACACTTGTCATTACACATTCTTTCCTGTGTTGATGTGTGTGTGTGTGTGTTCTGCACTCGCATTTCACTGCCTGACAGACTTGCCCTGGCATGATGATGTTTACCCTAATTCTGTTGTGGTTCAGCAGCACTGAGGATGATGGGACTTTTATCCCATCATTCACTTTGGCTTATGAGTTTTGTGCGAAACCCAAGTATTTGCAGGAACCAGCTCGAGTTATTTTACCAAGGTGGATTACCATTTAAATTGTGACCGTTAAAGCTGCTTTATTCAAAACGTGTATAAAAATGAAAACCCATGACTCATGTGTAAAGTGAAAGATGGTCGCTCGTGTTGAAGAACCCAGAGAGAATGATGACCCACCCTGCAGTTCCTCTCAGGGGATTTATCAGGTGTAAGGCAGGACTCTAGATGGATGCTGATGCTCTGTTGTATGCTGGATGTGTAACCTTTTTTATAAGGTGATCAAATGTTTTTGCAGCTTATTGCACTGCCCCACAAGTTCAATGTTACGCAGCTTAGGTCTTTGCATGTCCTTGTGTGAACTCTAGACTATTGTCTTGTGTAGTGTTACTACAATGGTTGTATCTTACTAATTCCACAAACGTCTTGTTTGTCTGTCTCTTTGTGGAACGCGTATCTCATGAACTGTTTATCTAATTGACTTCTCATGTGTATCCTTAGTGGTCATTACGTGCAGCACCGAGCTTGGTGTGATTTGGACATGCAATACAATGTGTTCAATATTATTGATAAATTGAATAATTTGAGCAATTCCAATAGGGTCCTCGCACTGTTAGCTGTGCTCAGGCCCTAATTTCATTTTGTTGCCACAATGCTTTATATCGAGCTGAATTACAGAGCTTTTATTTTGAAAAGAACTTGGATCAGAAGATTGTGTTGATTGCTTAACAGACTTATAAAATTGCCTACATGATTAAAAAAACAACAGCAGTCCAAACATATGTATATAAACCACACTTGAACAATAATAAAGAATTCAGTTTCATTTCATGAAAAATATGGACTATAAAATCTTCACTGCAGATAAACCAGGTAGAATGAACTCAAATTTTTCTTACTTCATTCTGCACCATAGACTATATTTAAAAAATCTGCACACTACGTCCAGCACACAAACAATAAAAAGTGACGGTATATTGTAGAACTGTTTGATGAGCAATGCCACAGGCAAAGCAAGAACTGCCACTGCACTAGTTAACACAACTGGGTTTATAGTCAGTTAGAGACACAAGAATAACTCTGGGTTATTACATCTTTATTTTCATGCTTTTGGTCGTCATCCCTGTTATTGTGCTGTACTGCCCAGACCTGGACACATGTCTGTCAGATGATCTCACAGGTTGTAAACAAACTTCCACACTGGTTGAATTTATCTGAATGAGTGAATACAAAGCCTTTGTTTGGGTCATAAATCCATCACCATTACCAGACTCACTTCCCGCTTCATTTGTGCTCTGAACAAACAGTTTGTTTGCTTGCAACCTGTCCGATCGTCCTATAGCTTCTTTGTCGCTGTGATTCCAGCAAGATCCCAGACCTCAGCAGTTACTTTATCATAACTAAAGGAATTGGGTAAAATTATGCAAATAAGACCCATTGTGGAAAAAAATGACTCTACTATTGATTGTAACTAGAAGGGCGCTCTGGGAGCACACACCTCTACCAAGGCGAATGCTCTATCTCGCCATGTCAAATTGATGATCTAATCTGTGGCAGCTTTCCATGTTTTAGCACTTTTCTCTTTCACTCTTTAATCTGTTGACCAGTAAATCAGAATCTGTTCTCTGGGAAACGCTGTAAAGAAACTAAAAAATAAATTCCTGGATCCACACATGTATCTGGATCAGCTCCATGGGTTCTTCTCTGACCCATACCGCATCCTTCCACCAAGTTTTGTGGTAATTGCTCCTGTAGTTTTTTCTGCTGCTAACAAACATGATAATGAACAAAACATACCTTCCTTGGCAGAAGTAAAATCTGACATGGTGTCACACTCTTGAACTTGAGTGAAAGAAGGTCAAAAAACACGTGTTCAGTTTGAGTCACAGCTGCTGTCAGCCTGTGTGGATCTTTGTTATTCTAGAGATTGAAAATGTTCTGAAAGAAATCAGCTGAATGAGAAAACGACGGCTGTGTGTCACATGTAAGGGGTCCTCCCTAAGATTTCCATCTGACACTACTGCTACTTATGACGTAATGTCCACGGAATGATGTCAGCAGCTGTCAGTTTGTTCCACGGAATGATTTCAGCAGCTGTCAGTTTGTTCCACGAACACAGAGCACTGTCATGACCAGGAGACATCAGCAACTTTTCTAATGGACTCTTACGAAACAATAAGGGAGTTTTGATTGCGGCCGGCACCTGAGTTAATTAATCGAAAATAATGAGATGTGTGGTTTTGAGATATTTTAGTCTTCATTTTTAAAGCTCTGTTTATAAAGATCCTCTTAAAACCAAAATGTATTTTCTCAGGATAAAGAGACGGTTATTTCACAATAAATCGTATTTAGTAAGATTATGTTGTATTTAAGAGGTTAATAACTTGGGCACAGTTGCCCCTCCTCACTACACATTGTCATCATGGCTTATTCTGTCGAGCTCTCACACAGAGAAGTTCACAGCCACTTGTGCGTAGCCATTGTTTGACTGTTTAAACTGCTTTAATTCATTCCTCCAGGTAAAGCCTTTCCCCATAATGACAGGAGGAACTTCACAGAAACTCAAAACCAGCCCAACCGGTCTTTTTACTGTTGTCAGTCTAAATCTGTCATTTGAACCGTGTGTGTGTGCTTTCACCACTGTAGAGCCTGAAGGTGGATCTGGAGAGTTGTTTTCATGTTTACATTAAAGATCAGGAGAAAAACTAGTTTTTTTTCCTGACTGTTGAGCAATGTAATCTTGTACTCTGTGTGCAGTCAATAAGTGATGTTACAATGGTGCCTAATTTCTGTTGCACAATAACCAAACCTCTGAGTGAGCTGTGACACAGTGCTGCCCCCCTGTTCTGAAAACTGAAGTCTCTTATTCTGTTTTTATGTTTACTGTATGCGATCAATCTAATACTGATGTGTCTTCTTTCCCTCAGCCACTGCTCCCACATCCTATGAAGGCAACTATGGCAAAATCATTTACAGAGTGAGGGCTTTTATTGACACACCACGGTTTGCCAAGGACTACAACACGGAGAAGGCTTTCTACCTGCTCAGCCTCCTAAACCTGAATGAAGTGCCAGACATATGGGTGAGACATGACGGTGTGTGTGTGTGTGTGTGTGTGTCTGTGTGTGTGTCTGTGTCTGTGTGTTTAGTTGATCCTTTGATGATGGTCATGTTGGTCTTAAAGGTTCAAAGACACATCCAAAAATGTTGTTTCTGTTTAATTGAACCATTTTTAGATGTAAGTTTATGCTGAAAGTAATTCTTAATAAACAACAGTTAATCTGTCTTTAGTGTGTATTGTTGGGTACATTTGGTTTCATCTCACTGCAAAGACTCAATGGTACGAAACCTGGCAACTTCCAGAGGTGGGACAAAGTAATTGTAGTGCAAAGCACAAGTTGGAACAAGATCTACGAGTCCTAAGTCAAATGCACGTCTTAGCAGTTTGGGAACAATTCACTTTGCATCCCTCTTGAGACGAAATGCTACTTTAAACAAGGTTGTTGTAGTGAGTGGAACAAAGGCTCGGTTCAGACCTGGTATTATCATCGGCCCTAAGTGATCTGATCGCATGTGGACAGTTCTAAGTAAATCTGTTCACACCTGACATTACTTTGCATCCTGAATGTGTCTCCTGTGACTGCTTGTGATGGGATCTCACCTCGGCGCTCTATATGCAAATAAACACGGATGTCATTTCACAAAGACCAAATCATGTTTTGCCCCTCTTCACGCAGGGAACCTGCTCATCCGCAGTGACCCAGCAGTTCACCTACATGTTGGTGAAATCAGGCACAGTCGTCCTGAAGGCTCAGACTGACATGAAGGGTTACACACCAGGCCAGATCATCCAGGTGACAGCCAACATCCACAACCAGTCTGGGAAGACTACAGGCAACATGGCGGCCAGCCTGATGCAGGTAAATCCCTGTTCTTGCCAAACCTATGAGGTGCAGGTTATGTTGCGGCTCACAGACCAAAGTCAACTTTATTCAAAAACTTTATTCAAATCGTAGTCATCTACTGAATATTATTAAAGCTAAAGGGTCTGTATTTATATATCACTTTTCTAGTCTTGATGACCACTCAAAGTGGTTTACAGTACAAGATTTTATATTGATGATTCATTTATTGATTTTAATGACTTGAGTGGGTCATCCACCAACCAGAAGATCGGTGGTACACTCCCGGCCCTTTTAGTCTGCTTACGGCCGTGCCGACAGTGTATGAATGTTGTGTGTTGGAAAAGGTCTGCGGATAGAAGGGCTGTATGAATGTGTGAATGTGACTTGTACAGTAAAGAGCTTTGAGAGGCCCATAAGACTGGAAGAGTGCTCTATAAAATACAGTCCAGTTACCATTCATTTTCAGTAGGTTGTTGTTGATTTCTATATTCAAGTGTTGTGGATGTTCCTTTGTGAAGATCTGTGCGTCTTCTTCTGTTAACGTGGCAGTTTATTGAAACCCTGCCTGTTACAGCTGGAGGGGGTTAGGCTCTGTGAACGGGCCAAAAACCAGGTGACTTAAAGCAGCCGTCAGAGCTGCAGAGATGATCGATGTGAGCCCCTGAGGTTTAAATGTAACAGATCTATTGTTTTAGATGTGAGTGATCTTATTCTATAAATGTCATATTATCAACATACCGTATCCCATGACAACACCAAATTCAACAATGAATATATCTGTTGCCTGGAGGTATTTAAAAATATTGCAATGTGAGTGATATTTAAAACATTGCTGATTTTAATATCACATTTATTATCATATTTGTTTTAAAAAAAATATACATTTATGATTGACTCACAACACCACCTTTCAGGGCCGATGCTCGTGTAGAATCAATCGTCTGGGATGTCGACACTCCTTGACATTTATATGTATTTGAAAGGGTTAACACCCTTTAATTATAAGTGGGTAGACCCCCCCCAACCATTGGGGGTCAGGGGGTAGACAGGCGTGTCTCAGCACCACCTCCCAGCACTGCATTCTAAAGGCATTTCTTAGGTTTGCAGAGAGAGACAAAGCAAAAACTTGGGGGGATGTTACAGTTTGATTATCGCCACCACCAGAGAAGGTGGTTTTGTGTGATGAGTCAGGACTTTTGCATCTCAGGAATAATGTGGATCTTAGTGTTAACATATTCAGGTTTTGAGATTTGTGAGTTTTTACAGTTTAGAAGGGATCCGTATAATAATCAGGATCTGGTGAAAGAAAATATTTCGCCTTGGAGCCTCACTCTACTTCTCTGTGGTTTTCACGCTTCTGGTGACTGTCAACATTACACTTTGTCATTTGATCCTTTGGGAATATAACAACGTTTTTTAAACTTCTCAGCAGGACTTGAACATTGTGGAGCATTTAGCAGCTCAAGGCCTCTGGAGAACTCTGGAGTTAGAATGCAATTGAATATTCATTTTCATTAGTATGGTGGTCAGACACATGACTAAAATGCTGTTTCTTTGTGTCTACTGCATGTTCAACTGTTTACCAATACAGTTCAATGTCATTTTTGTCACTGTACAGGTACAATCAAATATTGCCCACTGACACCTAATTGGGTAACCTGCACAAATTGAGACTATAAGGTACAGGATGAAGATGAAATAGAAACTATAAAAATATGAATTAGCCATATCAACCTAATAATATTAGATAATATCACAATGTACAAATGCAGAATACTTTTACTTACTAATACTTTTTGTCCTGTTTATTGTTGGGTAATAAATCCTTGTGTTTCTATATGCACTGCCTGTGTGGGAACAGTATTCCTCTGTCACCATGTTTATGACTCTCCATGGTCACGTGTTTTCTTCAGAGAGTGACCTATGAGACGAAGAGGCCCACGCATGATCTGAGAAATGTAGTGGACGTGGAGGGAGGTGCGGTGAAGCCTGGCAAGGAGGTGGAGTGGAAGGAGCAGATCATCATTCCTCCTCTCCCGCAGTCCTCGCTGGCTGGCTGTGATCTTATAAAGATAGAATATTACGTTAAAGTAAGATTTGTTCTTATACAATATTGGAAATATTGTCTTGTTAAGAAGTTTGCCAAGCTTTGGATTACCAACACCCATCATTGGCCTCGATCAGTCATGTACAAGTAATGGAAAGTTTAGATTTTGGCCGAATCATTTATCTGGAAAAGTCACAATAGGAATTAATTTAACATGAGACGAGATGCTTGTCATGACAAATATGTCGAATACCAATATGTCTGCATTATTATTATTAATAATGTCAATGATGATAATAGATTATTTTCTCCCCCTCATATCAATAGAGCAAAAAGGTTCAGAGAACCCCACAATGAATCAGACTATGGAGGAAAACCCTTCATTTAAACCAATGAAATGAGTCTCGACCTAACGTATTTGTCATTCAGAACCTTTTGGACTTTACATTGTCCATGGCTGAAAAAGGGGTTAGAGCTAACATTCTGTAAGGATAAGAGTCCAATCAATGGTGCAGCAGGAATTTATCTGGTATATAGAGCACTGTCCATGTTGGCTGCATTAAATCATACTGTGTCTACAGTTTTAGATTCTCAACAAAGAATCTACTAGAAAGTCATTCAAAGTGTGGTATAAAGTCTTTATTCTTTCAGGAAATATAAAAAACGTTCTCTTTTCCTCAGGTCAGTTTAAAGTCTCCAGACGTGATGCTGACACTACCCATCCACATCGGGAACGTCTCACTTGACAAAAAACTGCACCCTTCCAAAAAAGCAAAACCTTCTTCTGCAGCAGCTGAGGAGACACCAGACCCAGCGTCCACCTCTGCCACTACTCCCACACCGACCCCTCGCCCTGCCCCAAAACCCGCTCCCCGTCCCACCCCACGCCCCAGGGGGTCTTCCCATAATTCCCCCAGTGCTCCTCCAGCTGAGTACCACCATGGAGCAGAGGGTGGGGCTCCAGTAAACGATGGCTACCCCAACAAGCGACAGTCTCAGCTGGTGTCACCAAATGCTTTCAGCTATGCCCCCGGGCTGTTTTTCCCCCAGAACCAGTCACCCAGTGGGCCTGGCGCTGCAGCCAGTGGCTCCACAGGGGCCACAGCACCTTATCCAACTGAGAACGCTGCTACCTCTGTACCAACATCACTCATCCTGCCACCAGAGTATGGAAACTCAGCTTATCCTCAAGGTAAGTTGGCACGTTCTCATTTAGTACTGTCACGGCTGTGCTAACAATGCTAGGTGACCATTAACTGTGTCGTCTCCCACTCCACCTTGTGTTTCCTGTATCTCTCCATTGTGACTTCCTACAGCTGCTTTCAGACATGCACTGACCTCCGGAGATCATCCGGAGAAACTCGGAGGTGTATGTGTGAATGCAAATGTCCAAGTCAGTGCCTCCAGAGTTTCTGAGGATATTCTCCAGCTGGCCCCCTAAAGTCTGCAGAATGTCCGGAGCAGATGATGTGAGAACACAGCAATAGATTCAATGCAGGATTCACCGCAAGCGAGTGGGGGGGAATTAATGACACTTGCGACAGGCTCAAAAACGAAACAAACAAAAAGATAACAAATATCTGTGGCTGAAAAAGAGGTGTACGTCACACTCATAGAAGACACCGACAAAGATGTCAAGAGAGTTCATTTGATCTGATGTCGGTGTCTATGTGATGTAATAAAGCCTCTCCTCACCTGAATCCTGTGGAGAATGTGTTGCTGTTGTGCTTAAATAAAGACGTCTCACACACACACACACACTGGCAGGAGCATCAACCTGCGCATTAGGTTCAGCGAACTAATTTGATCAGTCTGCAGAGCAGCTAGCTGTATTGTTGTTAGTAACATGAAGAGAGGGTTGTGTGAGTTGTGGCTGTTAAAGCATTTGTGTTGGTTTGTAAAGCTGATGCTAGTGCGACATCTAGTGGCACAGAATATTGTGTATATATAACCTTTTAATGTTTGATCCCCAAATATTCCTATCAACGTGCTGAAGGGTTCTCGTGCAAGACACTATATGACACTTGATATTTTTTGTCTGAATGGTCTACTGTGAGCTCATAGTAGAAAAACCTTGATTTAGTCCAGGGTTCTGACTGCAAGGCGACAAACAAACTGCTGCACTGTTTACAGTTACTATTCCTCGAAAAGCAAACAAATTATTGAATAAGAAAGGAGAGCACAGAGTCAGATCTTTTGTAGTACATTTAGATTCAGTGACCCCCTATTTCCTGTGTTTAGTCAAAACACAAAGCGATGGATGAAATTGTCATTGATTGGTGTTTGCAGTAGCCCATGGTGCTGAACCTGTGTCCCATCCCTGTGCAGTTGACAGTAAAGAGCGGCTCAACATGAGAAGTCATTATGACAGCTTGTTCTTTTTTGTTGAGGATTTCACGCCACCACCTACGCCTGCAGACTTAACTGATGAATCAGACAGCGTATGACCCTGGGCGCCAGTCGCTAACCGGCACTATTTATAGTCAAGGCAGGGGAACTGAGTATGATTCAGCAAATAGTTCAAACCAAATACAGGAAGAAAAAAAGAAAACACTGAGCCAGTCGTTTTTGACATATATGTTTTTCATTTCATGGCACCTTTAAAGTTGACTACTATCACGCTCCCCTGGCTGTGGTTGTCCAGTGCTCTTCCTGACTATGGAAAGTGTGATATATAAGTGAGTGTTTTTGTACTGACCAGCTGATTTGATCTGTCTGTGTCTGTTACAGAGGCTCCACCGTCTTATGATGAGAGCTGCAACACATGAAGTGGATGAAGACCCAGGAAGCTCCAACCAGGAGGACAATCAATTCACTATAATTCACTATGATATCAAACTAATTGTCCAACCGAAACTGCAGTTCCTCCGGTTTTGTGGCATCCTCATGCAGAGTCCAGTCATTGTAAAAAGTTTATTGTAACCTGGTGTGACCAGATTGTTTTTACAATTATGCTTCCCCCCAGATTCATTTTCAAATGTTTTTGAATGTACATAAATCAGCATTTTGAAGTGAATTGACCTCAGGCTCTGCTGCCGATTGAACAAGTAGCTTAAAATAACCTAACGGGGGATATCCTCTCCACAGCCAATCAACACTGTCTTTTTAAAAAATCTATGTTTTACTCTTGTTGGTTTTAAGCACTTTGAATGAAAGGAAAGAGACAAGGAATCCGCAGAATTTTATTTTCTGTTCTTTTTACTGAAACCGAAGTCGAGCTTTTAATTGTGAGTCACACAGTAGATGACTTCTGTGATGTCAAGTTTGAGGGTTTCATGTAGGAACATCTGTACAAAGCAATTTATTTAGTGTTCAGTTTTATACTCTTCAAAGGGTAACAGGTGAAATCATCTCCATTTGTTGAATATTTAAGTCTAGATGAAAGATGTAATTTGCAAAACTCCTTTTTTATTTGCTTTTAATCAGGAGTTCTCAAATTTATGACACATTTCAGACATTGTTGTTGCAAGTTGTCTATATTTAGTCTGTACTCTAAGATTTATGAGGATATAACGTAGGATCCAACTAAACCTCCGAAGGTATCTGAAATGTTTGATCATTTGTTACTTTCATGTCCTTCAACTATGTTATAACGACGATGTATATTCTTCTTCTCCTGCTGAGTGTGTGTTGGCTCTATTCATGCCAGACATCCCTTGTGTGTCCGATTTTTTTTATATTGAATAATAATGCGGCATTACTGTGATTGGAGGTTTTACTTAAATAATCTTGCTGTAGTTCAAAGAGACTATTTCAACCAAAGTTTTGTGAAGTACATTTTTGTAAGAACGTTTCAAGTTAAACCCTTCAGACATGCAGGAAAAACAACATTTATTTATTTTTTTGGAGTGTTTTTCATCTGCTCTCTGAATTCCAATAAATCTGTTAATAAGAGAAGTGTTAAACCGTTTCTTATTTCTCACTCTTGTAGTGTTTCTTCTCTTATTTCTGTATTATTACCTCTACCAATGAGTTTTTTTTCATGGCTTCTGTTGTCAGCAGGATTACACAAAAACTACTGAATGGATTTCTTGAAACTTTGAAAAAATCTGGCATATTTAGGGAGCAGGAAGCAGCTTGATTGAATCTAAGGGGACTGTTGGGAAGGTATGCACTCTGAGTACTATTTTAGTTTTGTTGGAAGGCCCAACAGTTGCCTTTTAAAACTACATTTGAATTGACAAGATCCAGACTTGGATGTGTGCCAAATTGTACTGTACATAAGTAGATATTTGAGATACATTTGAGTATGTTTTCTTTTCTTTTACCTCAAAGTCCTTTCCTACACTTCACTTCAGGAGGAAATATTAAATAACTGTCACACCAAAGCACCAAAGAGGATGTTTGTCGGCTTTTCCACAGACAAAAGATCAGAAGGGCACCCGGCCCAGATGGTGTGTCACCCTCCTGTCTGAAGGTCTGTGCTGACCAGCTGGCCCCCATCTTCACCCAGATCTTCAACAGATCCCTGGAGCTGTGCGAAGTCCCCTCATGCTTCAAACTCTCCACAATTATCCCGGTCCCCAAGAAACCCACCATCACAGGACTAAATGACTTCAGGCCTGTCGCCCTCACGTCTGTAGTCATGAAGTCCTTCGAGAGACTGGTATTGTCGGACCTGAAGGACATCACAGACCCCCTGCTGGACCCCCTGCAGTTTGCCTACCGGGCAAACAGGTCAGCGGATGATGCTGTCAACATGGGACTGCACTACATCCTGCAACCCCTCGACTCTGCAGGGACGTGCGCCAGGATCCTGTGGACTTCAGTTCGGCGTTCAATAACATTGTTCCAGACATCCTCCACACCATGCTCACCCAGCTCACTGTGCCCTCCTCCACCTGTCAGTGGATTGCAAACTTCCTGACTGACAGGAAGCAGCAGGTGAAGCTGGGGATCTTCACATCCAGCACTGGCGCCCCCCCAGGGGTGTGTGCTCTCCCCACTGCTCTTCTCCCTTTACACCAACGACTGCACCTCTAAAGACCCGTCTGTTAAACTCCTGAAATTTGCAGACGACACAACGATCATCGGCCTCATCCAGGACGGTGACGAGTCTGCTTACAGACGGGAGGTTGAACGGCTGGTCTGCTGGTGTGGTCAGAACAGTCTGGAGCTGAACACGCTAAAAACTGTGGAGATGACAGTGGACTTTAGGAGACGCCCCCCCACTCTGCTACCCATCACCATCACCAACTCTGTGACTGCTGTTGAAAACTTCAAGTTTCTGGGCTCCACAATCTCCCGAGACCTGAAGTGGAAGACCAACACAGTCACCATCATCAAAAAGGCCCAGCAGAGGTTGTACTTCCTGCACCAGCTCAGGAAGCTCAACCTGCCTAAGGAGCTGCTGTCACAATTCTACTCTGCCGTCATTCAGTCTGTTCTCTGCTCCTCAATCAATGTTCGGTTTGGATCGGCCACAAAACAGGAGAAGAACAGACTGCAACGGACAATAAGGACTGCAGAGAAAATTATTGGTGTCAGCCTGCTCTCCATCCAGCACCTGTACCTGACCAGAGTCAGGAAACGGGCAGGTAACATCTCCGCAGACCCATCACACCCTGGATACAAACTGTTTAAACTTCTCCCCTCCAGTAGGCGCTACAGAACACTATACGCCAAAACATCCCGTTTTAAGAACAGCTTTTTCCCTCAGGCTGTCTCCGTGTCAAACAGCTAACACCGGACTCAAATATCAGAAACATCATCTGTAATATATCTGTACATTCAATATACTGTACAAACTGTATATGTATATTTATTATTTCATCCTTGCACCATTTGCACCAACTATTTAGCTTTTTTTGTACATGTACATAGCTTTTTTATTGTCTTTGTTCCTTGTTCATCTCTATGTTTGTTTGTTGTTTTTTTAAACTGTTGTACTAAGAGAACAAAGGAAAACCGGAGTCAAATTCCTCTTGTGTGTTCACATACCTGGCAATAAAAGCAATTCTGATTCTGATTCAAACCCTGATTATGTCACCGGCCTTTCTGGAGTTTGATGTTGTCCCATGTTTTTCTGTGGGTTCCTGTGGGAACTTCTCACTGTCCAAAGACATGCAGGTTAACTGGTGACTTACCTCTGAACGGCCCTGTGATAAACTGCCACTGTGTTCCTGCTTCTTACAAATATTAGCCGGGATTTGCTGTAGGCCCCTGATGAGCCTCAACGATAAATGGCACAGCTAATTGATGGCTGGATGGAAGGAAGTATTTAAGATGTTAAGAAATGTAATGGATAAAGCCTACCAACAAGAAAATGACAAAGGATTTTAAAAATGGTCCAAGTGGTTGATCATCTAATGTTTCAAAACAACAAAATGAGAAAAGCAAAGAAAGCAAAAACATTTTACACTTTTTTCACGTCCTGCTGCAAAATCTTTACCTGAATCCTGCGGAGGATTTGATGCTGTTGTGATTGCGTCTGTGCAGAGAACCTCCCGCTGAGTTGTGTGTGTGAAAGGCAAACTGCAGAGAAAGTCTGGACCCAAGTCATGTACAGCTTTGGATTTATTGTGTGACCCTTTGAAGTAGACTGGCCCTGAGTTTGGGAACCACTGAACTAAACTGAACATATTGTACTATATATTTAACAGCTCCACCTTGACCAGTTACAAGACTAATACATGCAGTATACACATTGATGTCATATATACCAGGTCAGTGGAAGAGGCTAATTTAGAGCAGAACCAGTACTTTTAGACACAGGGAGAATAATGAAACTGCATGGCCAGTATGCTAGTTGAAAATCAATAAAGAGATCTTCTCTTCCGTGTATTTATCAGTAGTTTGTCTGTTGATCGATCTCCTCTGTTATAAATCTGTTATGATCTTCAGCGTACGAAAGCTTTAAAAATGGTGCATTATTTTATCAGAAAAATATATATGATCCTTCTGAAATGTTTAGCAAAATATGCTGATTTAAATGAATTCAAACTTGAAACAACTTTGACTGCTGTGTTTTCTCTCTGATGTGTGATCACTTTTTTCTCTCTGATCCCATCACTCAACTTCAGTCTGTCTTCACGTGTCACCAGTTATCACTCTTCAGTGTGTTTTAAATTACTTTAAAGTAAACCTTTGTGGTTATCTCTGTTTTCAGCCAGCAGCTGCTGCCATGTTCCTGATAAAGTCACTGTCATTTTTCTAACATTAACCAATCACCAATCTGATGTCCGAACCTAAACCAATCAGAGGCAGGGTGTGGGCGGGTCTCCCTCCCCCCTGGCTGCTGTGGCGTCGGGAGGCGGAAATGGAAACTCCGCGCTTCCTGTTTGCTGCTCCTCATCCTCCCGGGTCCGCGGCTTCAGCTTCACCGACGGACCGACGCTGGTTGGAAGGAAACTCAGCCGTCGCAACTTCCCCCCGCGGCCTCGGCTCACCTTTGTCGGTAATGTTTACCGGTCTGTGTCTCACATGAGTGTCAGTGGTGCTCCACCAGGCGGAGCTCTGCCGGGGGGGGGGGCAGGGTAAACTTCACTGAGAGCTGGGGATGTAACTTTAGTTTGGGGGCTCGGTTCATTGTCTCGCCTGCGGATGCACGTACTGTAAATGCCGCCCGGTAGTGACCCGGTCCTTCACATGCTCATCCGCTTCACCATCAAGTGTTTGTGTGCGTCAGCTCGAGGTGTTAAATGTCGGAGTAAAACTTTTTCCTCAGGTGCTGCTGAGCCTCCCCGCACTGTGACCAGCCTCCACCATCAGCCCCTCCGGGACAGCGATGGATCGCGGTGGAGCCGGTGAGGGGCCCGGGCCGGGCAGAAGAGCCGCGGCTCCCTCTGTCGGAACACCCGCGGGTGCAAAGGGGCAAGCGGCGCCGAGCGGTCCGAAGCCCAAAATGAAGATCACTCCCTTCCACAGCTCGTCCATAGTCAGCAGCGATGGCGCACTCAGCGGCAAGCGAGCAGGAGCAGCTTCTGGGAAACTGATGGCGTCTCCTGGTGGACTGATCCCGGATCCACCTGGGCGTCTGAGCGGCCCGGCTGTCAGGGAGAGACTCGCTGCTGCTGCTGCTGCTGCTGCTGCTGGGAGCTCAGTCCCTGCAAAGATCACGACAGAGGAGAAAGCACATGCAGGTCCTCTTGTTGTCAAGGTAAACACACACACACCGAGGAGCCTTCCAAAGCACATTTTCCAGTTATGATTCGGCTCAGCTGTAAAACCTCAACCACAAGTTCAATTCCCTGTGATGATATCTGTAGGTCACTTTCAGTTTGTGTGCATGGAGTAATAATCTGTTGAACAACACCAGGAAGAGTTTTTATAAGTAAGGGATTCTGACATGGAGCTTTAAAATAAAAAGGGATTGGACAGGTTAAATAAGTATTTATTCAACCTATGGCTCACGTGATGTAATGAAACATTTATTAGTATGTGCATGCATTTAGCTTGTTTGACCATTACAGCATTATATAATTTCCATGCTTTATTTAGAAGGATGCACATTCCAGGAAATACAACATCAAATTTGCCTAAACCATGCTCATAGTTTCAATAATCCAAGTGCATGTATTGCTAATATTAAATGCCAACTTTTATTTGTGTGGCACTTTTATAAACAAGCATTTTAAATATCACTTAATACTTTGAATATTAAAATTACAAAAGTAATATATAAAATAATACTAGCCAGTTAAAAGGCACTTTACAAGGGTGTGTTTTTCAGTTGATGTGAAAAGAGAAGAGAAACTAGTTTGACATGACAGCGAAATGCGTCATCACCCTTAGTAGCACATTCAGACTGAGAATCTGTGAGCTGAGCGTTTTCTGCTGATCTCAGTGTGTGTGCTTTTACGTTTGGACTGAGCTGGTCAGAGATATAACATTGAACTAATCCATTTAGTTCTTTTGAAGGGATTTGGAACTGTGTTCAAAGAAAAGGTGATGAAT